AAGGCAAGATTTCCGTCGACATCGACTTGGAGCCACCACCTGAAAAACACAGATGAGCAAGCTCAGCCAACTGAAGAAACCGTTATGGTGCCGGTCTCAAAGGTTGAGCCGGATAAGATGGTTCAAATAGGAGCTTGCCTAATAGAACCAATGCGCTCCAACTTGTCAGACCAGTCCGGTAGAGGAAAAGGAACCTTGCCCCAGATAGATGGAAAATAGTAGATGAAGAAGTAGGGAAGCTGCTCACCGCGGACTTTGTGAAAGAAGTCCAGTACCTGAGATGGATTGCAAAGCCARTWTTAGTAAAGAAGGCCAACAGCAAATGGCGCATCTGCGTCAGCTATACCAACCTAAACTGAGCCTGCCCTAAAGACAACTTTCATCTCTCCCAGATTGATCGCYTGGTAGATGCGACCTCAAGGTTCGAGCTGTTAAGTTTCATGGATGCTTACTCGACCGCTTGGTAGATGCGACCTCAAGGTTCGAGCTGTTTAGTTTCATGGATGCTTACTCCAGCTACAACCAGATTTCAATGGACATAGTTGATGAAGAAAAAATTGCCTTTGTAACTGAGATGGGCTTGTACTGTTATAAAGTCATGCCCTTCGGATTAAAAAATGCTGGAGCAACTTTCTAGCGACTTGTAAATAATGTTTTTTCAAATTTAATCAGAAATAAAGTTGAATGTTATGTAGACGATATGGTTGTTAAGACTCAATTTTCAAATGATTTGATTGTCAACCTGGACCTCATTTTCAATGTTTTGAGAAAATACAACTTAAAACTCAATCCGAACAAGTGTGTCTTTGGTGTGGCGTCAAGCAATTTCCTCAGATACACTTTTAGCCGATGTGGCATCAAAGCAAACCCAAAAARAAATCCAGGTAGTACTAGATATGCAACCTCCTAGCTCGATTAAAGAAGTCCAAAAGTTGACTGGCCAAATAGCTACCCTGAACCGATTTATGTCTAAGTCGGTTAGGAAGTGTTTACCATTTTTCAAAGCAATAAAAAATAACCAAGACTTTTAGTGGATCAAAGAGTGTCAGCTCGCATTTGATGAGATGAAAAGATACCTAAGTTCACCTCCCTTATTGACCAGACCTAAGATCGGGGATGAGCTTAAGCTCTACCTCTCCGCGAGTGACGAGGTAGTCAACTCGGTCCTAGTTAGAGAAGTACAAAAAGTACAATGCCCTATTTATTATGTAAGTAAAGTCCTGCACGCTACTAAGACAAACCCCAACATAGAAAAATTAGCCTTTGCACTAGTGTTAGCAGCCCGAAAGCTAAGACCCTACTTCCAAGCTCACACTATCGTAGTCCTGACCGACCGACCTTTGATGCAAATCCTATAGAAGCCCGAAGTCTCGAGGAGACTTACGAAGTGGGCAGTCGAGCTTAGCGAATATGATATCTGTTATGAGTCATGACCAGTAATA